AATTTTTAAGATAGTTGTGTATAACTACAGAAGTTGTGAAATCCAACTTCAAAATACACCATTCACTAACTAACTGAACAGAAAAAATGGCCCAAAGTGCTATATACAACATATTTATTTGAAATTGAAAACGTTCTGAATAACCTCAATCAAATTCTATTATAAAAAAAGCACATTTTCATAATGATTGCAATTAATTTCATAAGGTTTCAATGAATTTCGCATACATCACATGTTTCTCTATAATTTAGTACATCTATATTACATTAATTGTTAAGATGATTCACAGAGTTAAATCATCATCTCCGCTCCACCCTTGGAAACTAGAACTAAATAAGATTTGAAGAGATGACTAAGTGATCCATATTCACTGTTCTATTAGTTTATTGAAAAAAAGTTTAGTTGTGTAGAAAAAAAAAGGAATAATTAGATTGTTGCCAGACGAACTTACTTTTCTCTGGTAAATGGGATTATCAGATAATCTTTAGAGGGGTATGGTTTCGTTTATTGCATATGTATGTGTTGTTCAGTTTTGTGTTTTCTTACATTTTGTGATTAATGGGAGAAAATGTAATATAATATATATATATATATATATATTCATCTAACATTTTGAAGTCACTTTGACTAGACTTTTGTTATAAAGTAATGAGAGTTCGTATTGTGTTCATATTTATGGGAAGGTTTGTGTAAAAGGGATAACAGTTGTACACAAACTAGGTCATTTATTCGCTTTCAATACAATTATTGCGTAGATTAAGACTGAATCAAATGACAAAAACTTCACATTTGTCTGTGAATTTTTACAAATAATCTTGTCTTCATTTTCTAGGTATCTGTTTGGTAATCAAGAAAGTCATCACTTAATCGAGTATATAGAAGAACATTTCAAAGTTCAAGAGTGGGTTTAGAGTGATGAACTGATGTCCCAAATATTATGATTTTTACTTTGGGGGACCTATATTTACTTTCCAATTATCTGTCCAAAGAGTAGTCCTTGAGTTGCAGATATTTTTTAATTATAGAACATTTTTTCCCAGCTCATAGTATACCGAAAATCTACCAGTTTGATTAAAAAAGATACTACTTACTGCTTCTGTTTTGACATTCCTTACTTTTTTATAATTCATCTTCTGATTTTGAGCCTTTTCTATCATAAAATTTTATGTCCGAAATCACATTTAGTAATCTTGCTAACCATTCTGACATCTTGTAAATGTTGAATTATCATATCAGTAAAATTAGTAGTAAGGGTATGTAAATTTATCATTCTTGTTTCTAACATACACAATAATCCTGAAATCTATCTGAGATCTGATTAATTTGTCAGTGTAGTATAATTTCACTGCGATTTCCAAGTAAGACAAAACACTTGTCCAATGAGTTAGGACTCTTTAATGGTTGTCCGGATTATGTTAATCCATGATTAAAATTGTTTTGTATTATTATTATTATCAGGATAAAATTAATTGATTTTCTGCAAATCTTGTTCTACACAATGTGATAGAATATTTAAATGACCGTGCTTATTGAATGACCACTAAATCTGTCCTTAAACGATAATGATATGGCCTTGAGATCTCAGTGCCACTTTTTATTCAATGAACAGTTAGTATCGCGGTTTTACTGAGGTCATAGATCTATGTTTTTCCATATAAAATGATCCCATCAGTGTTCATAACTAGTAATCCTGAATGAAGTGTTTTCTTGATGCTAATGACGCACAACTAAATTGAAATGATAACTATATATTTTCTTTTTTCTTTATGCAGTGAAAAACTACTACGTATTTGCGAACCTACTCATCCTTTATACCCACTGTCATATTTATTTAAGTAATACATTTCTTGAAAAATAAAATATCCACTTAATCGTATTATTTATTTGTTTGTAGTACATATAGGTTTTGAACCTCTATGTGAAGACCAACATTGGAGTGGGATTACATTCAACTATGTCTAGTTTTAAATAGGATCAAATACCCATTTATGATGTTATGAATATATAAGTATTTATATAAATCCTTTTTTTCAAATAGTATATCTTTGTGTCTGCACAGTGTGTCCACATATAATTTCCCCTTCCAGTCGATCGGCATTTATATATTGTTCTACTAGTTCTAAAGTAAATTGAAATCCTGAATTGAGGTTAAAATATTATAAGATAGATAGATATATGTATTTGTTTGCACAATGGCATTAACGATATTCTACTTTATTGTTTTAATCTCCTCTAACATACACTGCATTAATATGTGTAATAGTTTGAAGACATTGTTATTGTTGTCATGATCTTTGTTTATTTTCAAAATACATTTATCGAAATAATTATCATCAGTAGTTTTAAAGGAATTAGTGTGCACATAAACCTACTGTTCAATGCATTTATTTGTTTTTTGGTGGTGAAGCGCTTTCATTTTATATGATGAAAAAATTTCAGGTATTTGACAAAAATATATTTGGTTACATTTACTAAAGTGCTGGGGATGCTAATAGATACTGTTTGGTGTTCAAATAAGAAATTACTTCATTATCAATCCATTATTTCAACTTACAATTTGTAAGCCTCAGTTCAAATCAAGCACTATTCGCATTCCACATACGTGAAATCGCTCTCTATAGGGTGGATAATTTATCCGTAGAGTTTTCTTTGTTTGATGTGGATACTAGATCCGTAGAAATCACTTCGTAAACGTATCACTCGCATCTTCAACATAGAAATTCGAACTTCTCATTTTCATGCCAAAATCTCCAAATGACCACATTCACCTTCAGTTTATATTTCTCACTCGGAAGCACCTTAAATGTCATTGGTTGTTTTGCTCTTTTAGTAAGCTATTTTGTGAAGTTTATCAAGAACATTTTTGTACTGTATATGTATGTATGAGTTGAGTGCTTGTTCGTTCATGCTTCTCACTGCTTTTGTAACATTTCCCTCGACTGAATATGATCTTTTCCCTCTAGTTGTCAGAGCTGGAGCTCAATGGAATTGCTTAGCTTGTCCAGTTGTTGTTTTACTGACTTTTGTTTTGTCTGCCGGTTTTAGATGATATCGTAATTTCGTCAAACGTAGCATTAATTACAAACTAGCGTGTTATATATATGCGCTCAATTATGAATGTTAGTAAAAGTCGAAAGAAATCATAGATCACAACTGAATGAAAATGAAATATCGCCTAGCTTCTGAATCAAAGATTTTCTAAAACTTAATTATCACTTTATAAATGAATCATACTTCTCTTAATGTATATATTAGATATCAGTCATTCTCGTCCACTGTTTTTGCATGGGAACTCAAACACCTGAATTAATAAATTTCTAACTAATGTCCATTCCTTCGTATGACAGCTGAATGCAACACACAACAATAAAATTAATATAGAATGACTGACAGATGTGTTTTGTAGTGTAGTCTCTGACATATTCGGCCAATAATCTAGTGATTTCACAGTGATAACTTTATTTTTATCTCAGTCTTTCTGTTTTTCACAGGTTGAAATCATGAGTGGTCTAATGGTTAAGTGCTCGCGCGCGAAGCCAGTAGGTCCTGGGTTCGAATCCCGCAGAAGGCGGGTTCGTGGATGCGCACTACTGAGGAGTCCCGTACTAGGACGAAACGGCCGTCCAGTGCTTCCACGTTTTCAATGGTGGTCTAGCTTCAACTGACTCATGATTTCAACCTGTGAAATTTACTAAAATCTCCACAAAACTCATTCTTTCTATTTTTATTTATAAAGATAAAATAAGCCATAAAGACGGATATACATCTCTTAAAAGAACATTCAAGTCAAATTTAAACCTAGTTATAATTCAAAGAAAATTTCCTTCTATCTATTTGTATATCTACAGTTGTATTGGATATTTTTAAAATGTAATCTATTTACCAAGTACAGATTAATATACTGAAGTTTAAGGCTGATTTCGTTTTATATGAAAGTTAGTGACTGCTTAAGCTGGCATAAAAAGATGAACCTTCAACATCTTTATGCTAGATGTTAAGTAATCTAACCGATAAATCCCGCACTGTAGATATGTCACATATACTTGTGTAGATTAGTTAACATACGTAATTATCTGGTTAAATCGAAGTAAAAATTTTTATAACGAGATCATTAACCGCAAAATGTTTGACTACAGTATTAAAAATAAACAATATTTCGAATGTGTTTTGAAGTCATATTGTATATGCTCCTGACCACTTATTACTAGACATTCATACTGTAATCAAAAGATTTGTGGAGATTGTTGAATTTCATATTTTTTTCAAAACTGATTTATCTTAGTTAAACAACTATTCTAGTGCTTCCTGGATTATTACGATCATTCTGTAACTAAGATCAATCAGTGATAGAACTTCAAAATCCAAATTAATGAATGTTCTACTTTTTTTGATGAACATTTTTCACAAATTTATTAATAAATGAATTTTTTTGATTTTATTTATAACTTGATCTTATTAATTTGTAGAACACCAATAACTTGAATTTCATATTACTATGCGTATATCGTTAGTGGTTGTTGCAATTCATGTTAGATAATTTAAAATATGGAAAATTGAATAGTGATTGAAAATTATCTAGTAGTGGTTGATTTCATCCGACTGAAATTCGACCAGTGGCTTGTTATATTCTCCGATGACTGTAGTGATACTTAATACACTAATAATTATTTATTGATCTTCTGAGTTTTGATAACTGATCAAAGATGTTTCATTATTGGGTTTTTTTGTAATAGAAGTTTTCAATGTTTATTTATTAGAATTAGTCTAACTTTCACTGTATTTGATCATGGTATTCACTCTGAACTATTTACTGTCTGTTTGTGTCTTAAATATGTCATCTTTGAGTTGATTGTTATCATAACGACTGATATACCATCCTTGATATTTTACAATGCTACACAGAATAAAATGATTTTAAGAAGTCTACTCACGAGATATCAAATGATTTCTTTTATGAATTTATTTATAATTTAACAATTTTTAAATAAATTATTTTCTAGTGTATGGAAGTACATGTGTTTATCTGCCGAACATGGACACCTACATTTAATGGTCATACGGTTAAATGGCCTTGTTATACAGAAGAAATGCATCCAGCTTGGTTTCCACTTATAATGAATAAAGATAATACAATAAATACATCATCTTTACCATGGGAACATATGTGGCCTGATGATTTGTTATGGGTTCCTGATATACTTCAAGGAAATCTTATTCTAGCTTGGTTTCATTATCTTCGACTTTCTAATCTATCGATTACAAATAGTCAAAATTTAATTGATCGTTCAACGGAAACTAATGGGATCTCTATTGACTTATATGAAATACCAGCTTATCATTTGGAATCATTTACTACTGATGAAAATGAGTTATTGTCTGCTGATAAAGATGTAAGTTGTGTTTGGTCACCTACCTTGGTATTTTATTATGACTAAAAGTATTATTCGGTAGCTATGTTATTAAGGATTTTTTAAAGATAACTTTTTGATTCAGCGACTCGAATTCTGACAATGAAATTAACAGCTCAAACTCCGTTTTATCTATTTTTGTTCAAACAGTCGAACAGTAGTATCACCAGCTCACCTATCACTATAAAACAAGATCGTTCACCTTAATTTATTTCTGTCTTATCTAAATACCGTTAGTTAGAAATATATTCGATTTTTTTAAGGGAAAGGTACTGGGTTCGAGTCTCAGTGTGAATATCAACACGGATGCAAGTACACCCCGCTGACGAGATCTAAATAGGAGAAAAAGTTTTGGATTTCACTATTAGCCACTGTCTAATTTCACCTAATTAAAACATTCTTATTTTCAGTATGAGGTTGTGGAGATTACAACGTTTGTGATTGAGATCATGGACCGATTGATGTTAGACCACCATTGAAAACATGGGAACAAAATTTTTATAAATTATTGTAAACTGATTATTATCAGTCTGCAAATAAGTGAATAAAAAATATTCTGTACTTTTATTACTAATTCAAATTAAGGAAAGATATTTTCATCATTTAACTTCCTCTCATTAAGTTTTATTTCCACAAACCAATTATGTTTGTTTAAGTATTTATTCAATGTAATTAGTGTTTATTAGACAATCCTTATAGGATTTTACTTGTAACTTTTTCAGTTATTATTATTATTATTATTAGCATTATTATATAAATATCAGTAATTGATGAGAATACTAATTAACGCTAAAATAAAGTGATTTTTTCAATTTTTGACAAAAATATAAAATTTGATCTATTCCCTCTGAATCATGTATAATTATGTGTATACGGTTGTAGAGTTTGTTGAGTTGTAATTGAGATCGTGAACTGATCAATGTTAAACCACCATTGAGGGGTTGATTCACACTGCTGAGGAGTTCCATATAATTTTGTACCATTCCGAGGGGATTTCATATGTTCCGTGAATAATTACGTGTATATCAATTCTTTTTATTTGTCTCAACCATAATTCATAGTCAGGATAAGTTTCATTTGTTTTGTCACAGTGCTATTTATCATGAATATTACATTTTTTACTTGAATTTATTAGCTTTGCTCTCTTAACTAGATTTAAGTTGAATGATGTTTTCTGTTAAAGGTCGAAGTCAATTTACGTATGGAACAAAAATGGAAATAACATTCTGATTAGTCATTTGACTTTTTTGTTAAAGTAAATCAAAACAACTTTAGGAATTTTGTTTCAACCATTGAGTTATTAATTGTAATTTGCATAGTTGGCATCTTCTAATTTTATTCGTTCTGAGTAGTCGGTAGTCATTCCTTTTTATCTTTGTAATGAGTAACATTATAGATTTTCATATGAATATTGCTAGATCCATATTCCTAATTTTTAAAAGACTCTATTAATGAAGAGATAATTGTCACATAGATTGCAGGTTCTATAAGTCTGACCATAGCAATTTCTATCATTGAATAACACTACTCTATTGAAATAATCAATATGTCTTCGTGAATGTATATCTTTACATATAAATGATCATTTGTTACAACTGTAATTCAGCATAATTGTGATTATATTCTTTTATTTTAAAAATCATGAAGTCATTTGTCATTCAATAAACATTGACAAATGATATTAAACTTTTAATTGATAAAATGTAATTGTCTGTCTAAGTTTGTTTTGTCTCACGAACATTGATTTATATGTGAATGATTGTAGATTTTGTTATTAGAATTTTTAGTGTAATTAGTTAGAGAATTATTGAAAATTCAAAAGTACTGAACAATTGTTTCTTCATAATATGAAACTCAACAATGTAGTTAATATAACTGACTGTATGAAATTATTCTATTAGATAATAGAAAATCTATCAATTTAATCAAAATTTATTTTCATAATAATTTTTCGATAATGCAATGAGAAGACGAAATTTATCAGAATTATGTGATATATTTGCGCAATACATTTCGAACAATTTGATCACACATATACTTGTTAAGAACATTTATATATGAAAATTAAAAGGTCAACTAGACAGGTTTAGGGTAAGTCATAACAAAGGAAAAATAATAAAGTACACAAAAACAAATGTGATTACCACTCTTGATAATAAATCAGTATTACCAGGGTAGGTTAAGTGTAAGGACAAATTGTTTTTGAACACATAAAAGGGGTTTCAATTTCCGTATAGCCAAGGCTTCAATAAACCTTAGTATACATCCTTGAAAGCTTTTGTATAACACTACAAATGCTGATTTGGTGTCAACCTTATGACCCGTCTCAATTAAATGTTTCGCAATGGAGGATGATGTCTGTATATCCTGTGATCTTATTTGGCCATTGGAATTCATCCGATTCTGCAACCATTTTGGTATATGTTCACCCACCCTTAGTTGCAAATCACGATTGCTCCTCCCTATGTACGTGTTTCCACACATACATGTAAATTGATAAACGCAATGGGATGTGACACAATCGCCTTCGTGCTGTTTGGGCTTTCGGTGAAACATAGACCTTGTCTTTTCGATAATGATAAGTTGGGCTGCATAAAATGTCCGGTTTATAGCTAATTTAAGTCTCCGTTTCAACATGAGACTAACTGTGTCACCTCTGAATGGTAACGTAATATAAACCCGCTTTTTGGGTGCGAAAAACGTCATAGGTCTAGTCATATTGCAACCCTTCCAGCGGTTTATGAACTTCAAGGAATAACCATTTTCATAATCAGTACATTTCTTTAACTAAAAAGTATTGATGTGTTTATATAATATATGTACACAATTATATAATGATATACTAGTTCATATGAAAGTATTTCATTCAAATGTACTATTATCTTTCTATGTTAAATTATCGATTATCGCCACTTTTTTATCTTTGAGATACAAATAATCAATAAGTTGAATTTACTTACTTACTCCTATTATCCCTCATGTAGGAGTGAGTATATGTCAACCACCAAAATTCCCCATCCAACTCTTTCCTTAGCAATTCTTTCCAGTTATTATTCATTCTTTTTTATATTTGCTCAAAATTAAATCCACCTAAAAATTTGACATTTATCTAAATTATTTTTGTTGTTGATCTTTATTAAAAATTGGCAACAAGAAACTTGTTGTACATTGACAACTTTTGAAAAATAAAAATGTAATTCAGATATACAACATCTCTAAACATTAGATACAGTAATATATTAACATGCACAAAAATAAGCCAAGAATTGTTTTATCATTTTAAATCAAATTCATTTTTTATGTTTATAGATTTGAATGTGTTTCGTCTATTTCTTTGTTTCACTGGTTTATTTTTCCACTCCTTTTTTTTTGATTTTCCTATGAAATCTTTTCTGTTTGTTTGTTTGTTTTTTCTTCAGAACGATTGTAAATTATCCAGTGTTCAACGAATTATTGATCGATTGGATTTAGACAAGAATGATAATAATTTAAGATTATGGATGAGTTCATCATTATATGATAATGAATTTGTTGTATCTCCTTTGATACTTCAGAAAATTTTACATTATCCCATCTAATAAAAACAATTTGATATTTTAAATTAGAATAAATTTTGATAAAAAATGTATTATTTTGATAAATTTATTTTGTCATTCTTATTTTTTTTGCCTGAATTCATTGAAATAAATAGCTGTAGTAGTCATAGTAATAGTATAGTGTTATTTGCAATGTTTGTGGTAGTAATAGTAGTATTAGTGAGAAAAAAAGGATTGTTAAATTGATTAATTGTGAAAAACAATATTATCATTGATTGATTAATTTTACCTTTTGTGTGTGTGTGTGTGTGAAATCAGATATATTTCTTGTCAAATTTTCATTGTAAATTTATCAATCACTTTTTCTGATTATCAAACTTACAGTGATGTATATTTATGGTGGGATTGATTTTAAATCCATTTAGTAAAATAAACTTGTGTTGTATAGAGCTCTTAAGGCTATCATCCTTAGTGAAGCATAGGCTCCTGATCAAAATATCAATAAAACTGCAAATTTTATTGGTACATGTTTTACTTTCAACTCGATTGTGCTTAGACATAACATTACTAACTGATGTCATCTACCACTATTCGGCACGTCTTCCAATCAATTGATTATACACGTATGATACGAAAATAATCGACATTTAATCAACCATAAACCTGATGGAGCCTTACACAAACACAGATTGGTTCAAGTTACTACGCTATATCTGTTCCATAAATCGTTTACCGAAAGAGTTGAAATTTATTTCTAAAGAAAGAAATTAAGTAGGAAAATGAAGTGGTATTAAACTAAAGTGTTTAGTGAAAGATTAGAAATGGCGATGTCGTCAATACTGAGGTCAAATTCATATAACCTATCACCTTAAATTGTAGACTACCAGTACTAACAGAAACGTTTAACTTTGTAGAACTAGGTACATGAAGAAACACTTATTGATGCACTAAAGATTTTCTCAGTATAGCTTAGTAGAAAAGAATATTGATCTATCAACTATCTAACCTGAACTTGATTGATAACGTTAGTGTCCAACTTATCACTTGGTGTTATTCATAATACCTAACTCAGATTGATTTCTATTTTGTATTGCAAAAACGTCCGCATTGAGTAATTCAAGTTTCAGATACACAGTCTCAACACTTATGAATGAACATTAAAAAAACCTGTCTTTATATGTTTTGAAGGGTTGGGATGTCATTTTAGAAATAATTATATAAAAGTATGGTCATTTTTTTCATCCATACAAATTCATTATTTTCTCTTTATGAACAAAAGACCGTCTTCAGTGCATTAAAATAATTTTATTGTAGCGCGAATCTCCAGAAATGATTGGTGTACGTTCTTGACCAGTGCAAACTAATACAAAATCACTTATTAGAAAACGACAGTAATTTTAAAGGAAAGCTGAATATTAGGTAGCACTAGAATCGGGTACGCGCGTTTCGTTTTGTCTGAGACATACCTGCTGGATTTATCTGCATCGCAGCGTTAATATTCACACTTAAAAAATTCCTCGTGACTGACGACAATATCTAGAAAACTCTCACGATATACATGCCAAAAGTGACTGATCACTTACAACCCTTAACACTAATAACAGAAAGAATTAAATCCCTATAACTAGATTTTAATGACTGCAATCGTTTGAAATCAGTTCGATCACACATAAAACACGTATGTAGGGGTATATATACCTTAATTTTAAGAAAACCACTATAAACTGTTGAAAGTTTTAACAGTAGGATGAAATGACTTTCTATCAATTCTAGCTTTTCTTTGAATTCATTGATTTATCATAAGTCAACAGAAAACAGTTAGCTTCTTATATTCTTTTTCTCCATAAAAATGTTTTGTCAACTATTACGAATGTATCCTTTTTTTCATATAAAGTTAATACGTATCTTTGCACTTAACTCAGCATGTATTTTATTATCAAGCAAAAAACAACTTATTTTCTAATCATTTGTTCAACATGTTTATTATTATAACTAAATGAAATACCCAACTGAGTCAATATGAACAATGCGATATGATAAGATTTTAAATTACTCTGAATAATATATATATTCTGATAATCTACAAGTGTTAACAGTTGTAACTTGTATCTTTATACTAGCATTATAGACATTTCACAACAAAGAATACGAGAACTAGTAAACTAAATAACATAACTGTTTGTTACTCGTTATCCATATTATCGGATGAATATACTTCAAATCCTTTTTAAGTATTTTTAATAAACTGCTAAAAAATGGAGGTAGCTCACTTGCACTATGATTATCTTTTCAACCAGGTTGTAATAATAATTTTCGAAAAAAAGGTATTGTAGCTACATTTTTATGACAATTAGGTTATCTTTTTTTTCCTCGAAATGTATTTTCTGTTGCATGATTGCTGTTCATTTCATGGTTTGAGGTAATATTCAACAGTTGCAGTGATACTTAGCTATTTTAATTCTTCTGTCTCTCGAAATAATTTTCTTCCGAATAACTAATTTTATCATAACAAGAGTATATATATATATAATCTTAATGTCAACGCAAAAATAAACTTCTTGGCATTTCTTGCCTTTATGAAAACTACTACCTATTTTCTTCGTAAAAACGAATTATTATGCCAGTGACTTTTTCTCAAATGTCATACTGTTTCTCCATTGTCAGATTATATTAACTGCTTCCACTTGATTGTTTGTTATTTTTAAATATTTCTCTTAATGGATAAATTGTAGAATGCTGAATAGTTAAGTGATGTGTTTAGATCCGATCTAGTTGATTGAAATGATATCGCTGGAATAATTTGACAGAAGAAATATCATCTGAATCATGAATTTTTTTAAAGATTATATTACAAACATGATTTTTTTGGGGTTAGATCAAGTAACACTTAAGCATCGTTGTTTATTATGAAAGGGTATCCATTTGTCTGTTGAAGCAAGTTGTTTACCAAGTATAACTTTATGTACTCGAATTCGGACTACACCCTTTCATTTGAAGTTTAGTGTGCCAATGTAGGTAGATGTAACTATTTTTTGAACATGTTATCTAACAAACGGAATTTGTTACATACCGCTCTATGACGAATATACATTCTTAATTATTACTTCAGAAATGTCAATAAATACTGGAGTGAATATGTTTTTTCGGCAAATTTGACCGAGTATCACAGTGTCGTGGTTTTATGATGCTAGATATTTGTTTCGGCTGGTTGGATGACAATACTAAAAATGATTACTTATACCAAAACTACTAGTCATAAGTAACGCGATTAACAGTCAGTTTTTGCTTCATTTGTACTTTTCTGACTCTGCCCCAAATCTTATATTCTTAGTTTTAGATTTTTAATAGTTGTATTAGCGTAGCTTGATTATTCATTGTTGCCAAATATTGTTATGGTACGTTGTACAGTGTTGATACATTTTTAGGTGAACCTGTCTTTCTACTAAACGACAGCGAAAGATATGCAGATAATGTACATATTGACGTCATATGTCAATTCACATAGACAAATATGGGTATATTTTCACCTAAAAAAGTATCAAAATTCCCGATCAAGAGATTTTTAAAATCCTGAAGAACTATTAATATGGTATCTCGATCAATCTACAATCAATGAATATATTGACTTATGTATAATCTATTCATTTATGTAAGGTCAATCAGAGTGGATGAATAAGACGGTCAGAAGTAGTGTTGTGTGCTACTTATATTGACATAAGTAGTATATGATGTTAGTCGTGAACAGAAGGTCTGGCAGCAGAGAGACAAGAGGATCGAACAGTAAAGAATGGAAAATGCAAGAACAATGAAGTCTGAGTCATTTTGAGACAATTGGTGCACATTTTTCAAATTAAGCATTTACTTTATGATTGTTAGATTTTATTAACAAGTCCTGTAATTTTGTGTTAAATACATTTGATTGTCCTCACTCGTGTTCTGTTCACTACAGTAGTACATAGGTACATGATAATTTCAAAGATAATCACTTAATCACCAGGACATAATGATCTTACATACTGAAAGCAACTTTGAAAAGCTCGCCTCATTTTGACAGTCAGTCAGAAATACTGAATTAACATACATCATCAGTCAGTCAGCTACAACGTAGGACCAGGCACATTTGTGCATCGGTCCAATTTGCCATACCTCATTAGCACGACAAGATGAACACCGAATCCATAGAAGTAGTTAATACAGTGATGGTAATATATAAAAGAAAGATTGCATATAACGATATAGTACAGGAAGTATGATTTAGTACGTAGAAAGAAAGATATGAAGCGATTTTAATCTGATAGTTTAAAGGAAGACAAAGGGTGTATACACCGACGCCATTGTGATCGATTGTGAGCCATGTCACCAAGAGTCTTCAACCATTAGTTACAATAGTTATTTTGACAGCATCTCTGTTGATGTTGAGAATAGTGTTAAAAACTTCACAATCAAACCAATAAATTTAGAGAACTATAAAATATTAAAAACCCAAAATTTCATTGGAAGCTACATTGTGTCTATGCTTATTACTTCTAGGAAAATTAAACTGACACATACGTAATGGATTTTGTTCTAGTTATTGAATTCATCGAAAAAAAACTGTTTATTTGTTAACATCTACTACTTGAAAAGAGTAATACATTCTGATTTATTTCTTTTTATTATTCATTACAAAATGATGATTTCTTTATGCTTATTCGTTTTTACTTTTTTTTCTCTTTTTTTGAAGTACTTATATTTTTAAATCATTTATCCTTCGATTTATGCTTGCTTAATTTGATTTTTGGTAAATGGGGTGAATTTAAACAAATTTTAATTTGTATCTTTTAGATGAACAATAAATTAATTAATGGAATTGCAATTATTTAAATAAGTTTTTGGTTCCATTTTTAAAGAAACTTATATTTAGTTCTACTGTGGTGCGTGTTACTTATATTGATATAAGTAGTATATGACGCGAGTCAGGAATGTAATGTCTGGCAGCAGAAGATGAAGAAGATCAAGAAAGGAAGAGAGGGAATAGAAAGCAATTACTATGGGAATGCAAG